TGCAGGGATGTGGATGCTGAATCATTCTGTCGTATGAGCTGAGCACAAAGGGGAAGCTATTAATTTACTGGTCGATCAATGTCATTTCCCTCATCTGAGGTTATGAGCTATAATAGTGGCTGAAAGAATGAGATAGTGGACACAAGTGGCAAAAATAAGCTTTCTGGCCTCTCCCTTAGAAACAGGGTGAGGAGTTCAGTCATTTGAGAGGGGCTCAGAGTACGTCGGGCAGATTAGGGTCCCACTTGCATGAGCTGTTCCCACTATTTGCACTATGTGTCTACACAATATTTGTAGGATGAAGTTTACACTTTTTCTTTTCCTACCCACTTTTTTCAAATCCCATTGTTTATAAATCAATATTCAGAATTCAACATTATATTATCCATGCATGTTTAACTATATACAAGTCTACACTCATATACAATACACACATAAAACGAATTAAGCACATAAACTAAAACAACAACAAACTACAACACCCTCTGATTAACACTCCAATAAATCTCTGATCTTTTTGAAAATTGTCTCTCTCTCCAATTTTATCCTCCGGCTCAGTGCTGGTGAAATTATTTTGGGTCTTCCACTTGACCTTTTTGTTCCATAACCCTCAGGATCATTTAAGAAATTCCAAATGACTGTCTTACTGTATCCCACCTCAGCAGCGACGCTGCAAGAGACCCTGCTTATGCAGCTCAACAACCCAACCACGTTCAAAAAGGGAACATTTTCTTTTGCCTTTGCCATCAGAAAGTTATGACAGTGAGACCTGACAGAAAATGACAACAAAACCACATTTTTGCACAGAATTGGCATTTTAAAGGCATGTGGTTCTAAGATTTTGATCATCTGTAAAACAGCCTGTTTCAGTTTAAGCATTGTTTTCAATAAATTGCATGTTCAAAAAAACGTTTTGTTTCTCCTTGTTGTATGTTGAAGCTTTACTTGGAATCTTGTTAAGATCCAACCATGCAAAATATGATTTTTTGCTATTTTTCAAGTGGT